CTCGCAATGAATTTTTTTTTTTTGAGCGATAATTTGATAGCAATTATTACAAATTTCAATCGTTGGCGTATGTAAGGGCTGAATCACTTTCAAGGGCTCAAAGTCCGAACAAACATTAAACTACGATGTTTCTATTTATCTGTTCTAGGTATGTTGTACAGACTTTTTAGTTGTACTATTTTGATGATTTAATTTCAAGAATCTGTCAAGGAAACAATCTGTTGTTACTTTACATGTTCACGTAGGTTTAATTTAGCAGATTTTACATGTCAGCGAAAATAGCGAAATTTGCCCATTGGTCAGGAAGATATATCCTGATTTGCTACACTGAGGTTAATTGTGGTTTTTACTACTCCATCGCTAATGACACTAATTACCAAGAATTAAAAAAAAAAAGTGAAATTAAGTCGCATTGGGGAAAAAAACCATAAGAAAATCAAAGCAAAAATTATTCAACTGCAGACGAGACAAACCCTGACCTCTAGAAATACCTCATTCATAGAGTGCCTCATTTGTGCCCTTTGATCAAATTTTATTGATGGATTGACCTACATGCAATTACATTCACTTATTAGGCAAAGCCTATACCTTTATAATACATGCTCTGATCACATTTGAGCTATTTACAGTTAAACTTTGATTGACTTTCTTGAAAATGGCTTTTCTGCTTGCTTTGATACTTATAGATAGTATATATGTACCTTGGGTGGACCTCTCCCTCACTTCTGATTCAAATGTACAGATTTCTCACTCCCGATTCAAATGTACAGATTTCTCACTCCCGATTCAAATGTACAGATTTCTCACTCCCGATTCAAATGTACAGATTTCTCACTCCTGATTCAAATGTACAGATTTCTCACTCCTGATTCAAATGTACAGATTTCTAACTCCTGATTCAAATGTACAGATTTCTCACTTCTGATTCAAATGTACAGATTTCTCACTTCTGATTCAAATGTACCAATTTCTCATTTCTGATTCAAATATGCAAATACAATAGATGCATACTGCACCACACAATGCACTTTTAGGATTGTACTCAATATTATCCATATTGTCAAGAGTACATTATGATACATTAATTGTTTATTGCAGTGTCTTGTCTTGTTTGATGGAACATCTTTATACATCTGCTATGGTGCCTGACTGTCAAAAACAACTACTTGAATTACAGTATTTTGTATCAAGGGATTTCAGGTAAGCACATTTACCAATACTTTCACTTGTACTTTCAAAACAAGCACCCAGGGTACTCGGCTCCAAAAATCATGTGTTTTAGTGGAGGTGCTTACCTTGAAAAGATGTGTAAATGACAATTTTACTTCACTACAGTACAGTACAGTTCTCGCGAAAGCTTTGGCTTTTGTGGCATCATTGTCGCCTATGCATGGTTTCATTGTCGCCTCTGCATGGCTTCATTGTCGCCTCAGCATGGCTTCATTGTCGCCTCAGCATCGCATCATTGTGGCATCAGCTTCGCGTCATTGAAAATTGAAGCTGTGTTCGCCTCGCTTATTTTGTGGCATCATCCTGGCCTCAGCTTCAAAGTGTTGGGACATGAGTATGATCTCATTATTTTCACACAGAAAGGCAGTAGAGAAAATCACGTGTACAGAAGTTTGATATGTAATTGATTTGAAATTCAAGGCGGTAAGGGGAATAAAATAATTTGACCAAGAGTAAAATGACATTTAAAAAAAATATCTTGTTTAATTATTTAATGTTGTGAGTATTGGGTACCAAGAACTTTGTGTTTACATTGCAATCTGCAAGGTGACAAGTGTCATATTGACTGCAAGGAAAATCGTGATAAATTTAAATCACACGATGCAATCGTCGTTCGGATACAACACAGTTTGCTATACGAAATGAAACTGTTCTTGTTATAAAATTACCTTATTTTTGTTCATTTTATTTGCTGGTAAGAGAACAGATTCAGATTCCTCATTTCGGTGGTATTTTTCTGTGTTTCGTTTAGTTTTAGCCGAGTCTGATCCCATGCCCTGACTACTAATACGTGCAAAACACACGTACACCACCTAGTGCGTTGGCGTTGTCGCCGGTCATCTTGATACAAAGTTCCAAAACAAGTGCGTACATTTCTAACTATGATTGGATGGTTGTGGTGGCGTCGGTCTGGTAAAATTTTACATCCAATTTTCCTGAGCTTGATCTATACATACTTTAAAAGTATTCTCACAAAAAAATATTTTCGAGTAAAAACGAGCCACATGCCCTGTACAAAATAGAATAGCACTTGACATGCAGAAATAATTTATTGGGCTTCAGAAAAAAAACGTGTCCATTTAGTTGTAGCCGTAAATATTTGGTGACCAGTTGATGAACAATTTGAAACTCAATGATACACACGGAAGTCCTTCGATACTGAATATCATCGACCCCCAATCTGGTTTACCTTATTTTCCAACTTGCAAAACTGATTTGTATCTCAGCCCAGTTTTTTAGCTCCGCTGTCGACTTTGTCGAGCGGAGCTTATCATATGAGTGATTGTCCGTCGTCGTCGTCGTCCGTGTCAATGTTTTACTTTTTCGACTTCTTCTTGAAAACTACAAGCCTGAATGCTTTCATACTTGGTGTATATGTACCTTGGGTAGACCTCTCTCAGATTTATTCATTTCATGATCATATCTTCAATTCTCTAATTTTGGTGAATATTTTTGTCATTTTTGGTAAAAAGTGATATTTTCGACTTCTTGTTAAAAACCGCAAGTCCAATTGCTTTGATATTACATATATAGGTACTACACGTGTATCTCTCTCAGATTTGTTCATTTTGTAATGATATCTTCATTTCTCTAATTTTGGTGAATATTTTTTACATTTTTGGTAAAAAGTGATATTTTCGACTTCTTGTTAAAAACACCGCAAGTCCAATTGCTTTGATATTACATATATAGGTATTACATGTGGACCTCTCTCAGATTTGTTCATTTCATAATATCTTCAATTCTCTAATTTTGGTGAATATTTTTGTAATTTTTGGTAAAAAGTGATATTTTCGACTTCTTGTTAAAAACCAATAGTTCAATTGCTTTGATATTACATATATAGGTACTACATGTGGACCTCTCTCAGATTTGTTCATTTTGTAATGATATCTTTAATTCTCTAATTTTGGTGATTATTTTTGTCATTTTTGGTACTACATGTGGACCTCGCTCAGATTTGTTCATTTTCTAATGATATATTCTGTTCTTTAATTGCCATGTGCATTGCTAACAGCGGAGCTATCTCAGCCGACAGACTGCTTGTCTTTTCTTTTTATGAACTGAGGTCAAATCCCAGCCGTTTGTCAAAATATCCACTCAGGTGTTTTTCAGTGAATAATTGTGAAGCCTGTCACAGCACAAAAAACTATGTGAATCGACGCCGGAGATTGGAGGTACGACGACCCTTAAATTAGCGTCAAATATGCTTTGTTACAACATCATTGATTGGCTGAGAGACACCTGATCGGAGCACGACCTGGGTCACAGAACCATATTTGTCCGTATTATCAACGGGACTTTGCAAGAGAACCACATCCACACTTTCAACCATTTTTAGCGCGGAAGATGCCAACAAATGTCGAAAAACTCGTGAATTTTATGGATTTGAATAAAATAAAGCTAGCGATTGGTAAGACTGGTTAATAATATATCCCCCAATGCTCTTCAATGAGAAATGGATAATTGAAGTTCCATCGATTTCAAGGCGACTGTTTCACCGCGACAACTCTACGCTGTGTTGTAATTTCGCGAGGTAAAAAAAAAAAATAGTACTTGTTACGGGACATGATCCCCATGAATTACGATAAATAAATGCTGATTGTGTTGAGTGACGGACGATGGGGCCGATGGAGAAACCAACGCGGATCGATATTCCAAACAAATTATTGGGACACTGTCGGTAGACATTTCAAACAAATGAAATTATTAACGAAAGACGAGATTTTTCCAGATATTTACGAACATACTGTCATACCAAATATATGCAAAATTGACAAATACACAGAGATATTAGGTTTTATTAGTCCCCGTTTGGACGAAGTCTGAAAACGGGGACTTATAATTCGGTCTCCGTCCGTCTGTG